CTCTCTCCTTCCCCTCTTCTAATTGTAGCTTCCCCAGAGGAAGTGCTCTAGAGTTGTGGACGTGAGGGGTGGCAGAGGGCTCCTCACATGCCTGGCTGCCCCTTGGTGGTCGAGTAGCAAAGACAGTAGCAGGTATAGGATGTTGCCCCCGATGCAGTTTTCTGTGTGGCTAGTACAAGCTATTTTCTCATGGGAAGAGCAAGCAGGTTTACAGAAGCAGCCAGCCATGTTAGGGTAAGGGAACAAAATGGACGAACAATTGTTCATGTGCAGGATCTAATATATATGCGGCCTTCCACATATACATACAAAGATCACAAACATGATTCCAATCCAGTTTCATCAGAAATCACATTCTTGTCCCCACAGTGGTTTTTCAAGTGAACTCCTATCCCCAGTCCACACGTCCCATTTCTTCATTGTGCGCACGGTGGTGGTGGGGCGGCAGCCTAGGGCACTCCTCTGTCTGGCCCACCGGCGGAAGGGGCGCTGTCCTGTGGGCTGCTCCGCGGGCGCTACTCTCGGACCCAACCGATGTCAGCCTTGCCACCTCTCTCCTTCCCCTCTTCTAATTGTAGCTTCCCCAGAGTGAGTGGCCGTGAGGAGGGAACTGGAGGGGTGGCAGAGGGCTCCTCACATGCCTGGCTGCCCCTTGGTGGTCGAGGGTGCTCCTAATCTCCCTCGTCTCCAAATCTGGGTCTGTCTCTTACTTGTGGCCCCCGGTGGCTGAGGTACGAAGTGCTCTCGGGGTGGCATTTTCACTTTGCTTTTCTGTCGAGGATCTCCTTGCAGTGAGGGATGCCCACCTCCCTGGCCTCCTCTGGGTGGCTCTACCCCAGCCCCGTCTGGAAGCTCTGTGTTTTCTTGTGGATCCAGGAACCTCTTCCTACCCCCTCAATTTCTTGATCATATTTAGGCCACATAAAACTTTCCTAGAGATAAGCTCTCGTACCTGCAGCCTTTCCCCAGACTCCAAGGCCTGCAGAGCCCTGATTAGGGAGACCCTGAAGTGGAATGTCAGACATGATACTGGCGCCAGAACACCTCCGCTTCTTGTGGAGAACGTCTAGAGTAGAGATAATGACAACGTGGCAGACAGGGCCGGTTTCCTCGCAGTATCTGTTTTCCTTTCCTTCCTTTAGTAATATACCCCCGAATTTTAGCTAGGTGCATGGCTACTTAGAGTAAAGAGTGTATCTCCCAGCTCTCTTGCAGTTGTGTATGGCCGGCTGTGTGGCTAAACTCTGGCCAATGAGATGTGAGTGGAAATTATGTGTACAACTTTTGGTTCACACCCTTAAAGGAAAGAGGCACACCCGCAACTTCCTCTCTATATTCTTCCTACTGGTGAGAGGGTGGACTTGGTGGTGAGCCATAATTGATCAGGTGTCCAAGGGCAAACCCCTTAGGGTGACAGAGCGACCTGCTAGAAGGAACTTGGATTTCCAGCACTGGGATGTCTCTACAGCCTTCCCAGACAGCTTCTGCACAGGCTGTCAACCAGACAGTCTGGCTTATGCCTCGGAGATTCGAGGCCTTCTTATAGCAATTGAACCTCAGTCTCCATCAATGTGAATGATTACTTTTGGGGCAGATCTTATATGCGAGGCACTTTTCAATCATATTAGTTAATTTAACCCATACAACACCTTTGTTAAGTAGTTTCTGCCTTTGGGGCAAAAGTAGTAGAAACAGATTCTGAGTAGTAAGTTAGAAATACAAATTACTAGGCAGAAATGGGGTGGTTCAGAAGGTAGACGGGAGGACCGACGAAGAAGACTTGGACAGGACAGAAACCATGGCTTTGGAGGCCCCACCAGCAGAGAGGAAGAAACCAAATGTTAATTTTCGATCCTGTATCATTGAGTTCAAAATGTAAATAAAAAAATAGAGTCCAGGGAACCAGCAGTTAGCGTAATGGCTATGTCGCTGGACTCCCACATAGTCGACCGTGGTTCGCGTCCTGGACCCGGTGGCTTAAAATTCACGCAGGGCGCATGTGCATACATGCCCAAGATCCCGAGAGGAGAATGGAGGAGAAGGGATTGCGCCATGACCATCCCCTCTGGGGGGTGATTTCTTGCTTTCTGTCTCTATGTCTCTCTCTGTCTGTCTGACGAGCGCACGCACCCTATAGTGAAAAAAAAAAAAAAACTCTCCAAAAAAAAAAAAAAAACACAAACTTGGGAAAACCACAA